CGGGAAGTTGAGCAACAACTTCAGCACTCGAGCAGTGAATGGAAATTCGATGACATTGTTGTAGCTTGTGGCAGGTTTTGCACCTCCTCTGCATATTTTTATGATTTAGTATGCTATACATGGATTGTTGCATTAAAAATCGTCCATGTATGGAATCACTAAAAAGCAACACTTGCTAAAAGTATGGTTGAAAAGTTTGTCGAGGAGTCCCATAATAAGTAGGAATATGCTATGAGCTTAGAGAATGACCGAGACTTGTATTCCTAGTAAGGATAGTATACTCAATTGACCAATGACATGCCTTGACTGTAGTTAGACACACACATACTTCCTCTCTTGTTTGGTATTTCTATTACTGAGTGGCTTTGGTAGTTGTTCCTTAATGCATCAGTACATGTCAGTATGTTTGATATATGTTTTGAGTGTCTCTATGGTATCTGTGGAGGATCTTAGCTTCTTGATCCTGGCATCACGACACCCTATGGGATGTTGTAGGGGGCTCATTACCTTCTGGGACTATGGTCTTTTTGTTTTTATACAAATTGCAATTATCTTGCTTAAGGAGCTTTTGAATTGTTAACAGATTCTCCGTGGACATTGGTTCCGCCCACTTTTGTGGTGAGGCTCAATTTTGCCCTGCCTCCTAATAACCTGTTTTCCTATCAAAGCGTATGATGTGAGAGTATCTACCTCTGGAAACCAGATTGAATTCTCTAACATTTGCGTTGCATCTCTACATGCATAATTGAGTCTCCCTGTGCCAGGTGCTCTAAAAAGAGCAAAAGATTCTCCATTGACATTGCCACCAGCTTTTTGGTGCCTTCTAGTAGACCCTTTATCTATTAATACATTTGAGTCGAAAACATATTATTGAGAACCTGATTGAACCTGAAGAAATTTCCTTTCGCACTTCTAGGTGCCTCAGTTGTGCATCTCTAGTAGAATTTCTGGTTTATTTTGATATTTACTCTTCTTCGGGGAATGCTCGTACTCAATGAGTAACTCAACTTCCTAAAAATGATCTTTTGTTTTGTCTGGAGTTACATTATGGTGAAAGTCAATGATTTATCTTACAGTGTTCTAACATCAGTGCCATGTCTCCATGGTTTTCAGTGGGGGTACGGTCGCTGGTTTGTCCATTGCATCCAGGCTCAGTGGCTTAAAAGCAAAAGTAAATTGTTTTTGTCTTTATTTAAATTGCTCTCATCTTCAGACACAGCAAATGTCACTAATAAGTGGTTCGAGTTTGTAGGTTAATGCATTTTGTGTTTGTGACGATCCGGATTATTTTTATGAATATGTTCAAGGCCTACTTGATGGAATTAATGCAGGCGTTAGCTCACGTGACATTGTTAGCATTCAAAATGTAAGGAATTCATTGTTTTCTTCTTTCTTTAAGCATACCTGTTTTACATTCATCAATTTAATTGTGTAACTTCTTGAGGTAGTAATTTCATGATAAAACAATGTGACCTATTGATTGTAATTCATGGATATTTTGGTCTTTGTAACTGTAAGTGTTCTCTCTTCCCATGCTATACATTTTACATAGCTTATGACGTTTAACATGGATGGCTATGCTCAAAATAAAGGACTTCTTTCTGAATACCCTTCATGGCCAAAACTTTGATTGATAATTTTCCCTGCTAATAATGGTGTCTTCAAAATCTTATCATAAATCATTTATGTCCGCATCCATCTTGCTCAAGAGGAACTATGGAAATTCTGCATATGATGTCTTAGTCTAGTTCTCTGAGGAACTCCATGGTATCAACAAGTCTTGTATCTACACTTTGGTTTTTTAACAGGCGAAAGGCCTTGGGTATGCTATGAGCACAGCTGACGAGCTTAAATTTGTGAAGCAAGTTGCTGAAGCCACAGGTGTTATTCTCGACCCTGTCTACAGGTATGGCCAAGTGTGCCTTCTCATTCTTTCTTTATGCTCATATGGCAAGTGAGCATTCAACGGACTGTCTACACAATTCGCTTGTAGTCTGTAAAATCCATTGCACAAGCATGTTTTTAATCTAAAAACTGTCTGTTCTTATGAATGCACTAAATTTTGGAATGGTTGGAGAATAAATCTTTCGCTATGGAGCCCGTAATAGGGGAATCCTGGGTTATTTGGTAATGGAACATGGTTTATTGATATTGATTTTGTAAACTTGTCTGTATTGAAGTATGTTGTTGGCTTGCTATAGTGATTCTTTAAGAGGAGAAATGTAGTAAGATTCACTAGATGCCGAGTGTAACAGAAGGTTTTCGGCCTTTTTATCTTTAAACAACTAGTATACACCTGTTTTAAAGTTGAATTGAACCTTGCACTTGAATTATACGTAAATCGAGGGAGAACAGTGAGACTGAATACACAACTCAAATTACTGATATTGATTCTTGATTGTCTATTTGTGAGGATGCCTTAGCTTGTTGACACATTCTTTTGATTGTTCATTGTTACAGTGGTAAAGCAGCTTATGGAATGATAAAAGACATGAACGAGAATCCAACAAAGTGGGAGGGAAGAAAGATTCTCTTCATACATACAGGTGGCCTACTGGGATTATATGACAAAGCTGATGAAATGGCCTCATTAATGGGAAAATGGCGTAAGATGGATATCAATGAATCTACCCCAAGACAAGAAGGCATCGGCAAAATGTTCTAAATCGTGAAAGAGGTGATGCCAAATTGTGTTGTCAACATGTACAGGATGAGCATCAGCATTTCTAGATTTTTTTACTCGAATAAAAGAAAGTGCTTTGTGCCACTTGTACGAATGGTTGAATTATGGATATGATTTATCTCTTGAAAGCTTGAATAATTGGAGTTAAATGGCGGATGTGAAAGTAGAGGGCCCATGACTAGAAGTTTTGGCAGCTAAAAGATGTGGTTAACTATGTTATCTGGATTTTAAAGGACTTTGTCGCTGCTAGTCAATTCGAAAGGGTAATCCCTGATGCCAAAGGACCGCTGAAAATGATATAGGAACCACTAATGCAAGGCGGGTGGGAGGTAATAGGTACCTGGGGAATTAGTTGAGGTACGTGTCATAATAATAATTAATAATAATAAAAATAATAAAATACATTGTTTTAAACAAGTTGATAGGGGATAAACAACTGAGAAATCTTGAGATAGTCAAGAGATCATGCTATTCAATTCGTTCTGCATCAATGGAGATATTTTGAAAGTTGAGAGTTATTTTCTTGGGGTCCATATTATGTATCGCAAACCTTATAATTGAAACCAACTTTGTGAGGTTTAACCTGTGTGATGTTGGCAAAATCAAGCAATACATCTAACAAAATCAATACAACTCGTAACGTTCAAGTTAACGTAAGGAATTTTGAAAATCTTCATTAAGATTAATGTACTATTATCCAAATCACAGGTTTTCTTTGGTTCGCAAGAGAAGGGTAAGCTCCAGCCAGGGGCGGCTCAATGGTAAAGTCACTCAAGCAATTGCTTGAGGCCCCACATCTAGGGGGGCCGAAATTTTATGATACTGTATTAAATAATTGATTTGTATTCGATAAAATTTTAAAAAAATATTTAGTATATAAAAAAAGTATATCTTTCATAAACAAGGAAACTATGAGACCGATAGATATAATTTGGGAATAGGAATAATAACTTACATGTGAATTTATTTTTTGCCTCTTTATATATTATCATTATTATCACATGACTCACATTAATTTTTATTACTTTCTCAACACTGATGGGGCCTTCAAACATGAATGTAACAAATCAGGTATTGGAGGAGTCTTTAGAAACCATAAGGGAAACTGAAGGGTTTCAAAAGATAGACAATGCTCATTCTCCTATACACTCAAAACTCCAAGCAATCCATGAAGGAATAAGAATAGCAACTATTTATGACTTGTTTCCACTAGAAATAGAAACAGACTCCACTGAAGTCATCAATGCATTAAACCAAGACCACTTTGCCATGACTAATACTATTCATTCATGCAGGTTATTGATGCTCCAGCAGAACGACCTGTTCCTACGGCATAACTTTCGTGAAGGAAACCAAATAGCACACCTATTGGCAACAGATGCATGTAAAGATGCTTTTTGGCAACCATGTAAGGATACAGCAAAACTACATCCAACTCCGCCTCATTTTGTGACCTCACAACTAGCAAAGGATCTGGATGTTGTCCACCACTACAAGAAGTCACTAGACATTTCGGCTTGTAATAGACTAAAACTTCTAGGAAACCAAAATGTCACAAACATTGGTTCACCAAGTTGTGAC